ATCTCTTGACCTCGTGATCCACCCGCCTCGGCCTCCCAAAGTGCTGGGATTACAGGCTTGAGCCACCGCGCCCGGCCCCCCTCCCCAACTTTTTGTGTAAAAAACACCATGTGACTGAGTGCGATGGCTCACGTCTGCAATCCCAGCACTTTGGGAGGCCGAGGCGGGTGGATCATGAGGTCAGGAGTTCGAGACCAGTCTGGCCAACCCGTTTCTACTAAAAAAAAAAAAAAAAAATACAAAAAAAATTAGCCAGGTGTAGTGGTTTGCACCTGTAATCTCAGCTACTCAGTAGGCTGAGGCTGGAGAATCACATGAACCCAGGAGCTGGAGGTTGCAGTGAACTGAGATCACGGCATTGCACTCCAGCTCGGGCAACAGTGTGACACTCCATCTCAAAAACAAACAAACAAACACATAAAGAAATTATCGGCCAGGCACGGTGGCTTATGCCTGTTATCCCAGCACTTTGGGAGGCCGAAGTGGGCAGATTACAAGGTAAGGAGATGGACCATCCTGGCTAACACAGTAAAACCCCATCTCTACTAAAAATACACACACACACACACACACACAAAATAGCTGGGTGTCATGGCACACACCTGTGGTCCCAGTTACTTGGGAGGCTGAGGCAAGAGAACGGCTTGAACCGGGGAGGCAGAGGTTGTGGTGAGCCGAGATGGCGGCGTTGCACTCCAGCCTGGGAGACAGAGCCAGACTCCATCAAAGAAAAGAAAAGAAAAAAAAGAAGGGAAAGAAAGGAAGGAAAAAGAAAGGCGAAAGAAAGAAAGAAAGAAAGAGAGAGAGAGAGAGAGGGAGGGAGGGAGGGAGGAAGGAAGGAAGGAAGGAAGGAAGGAAGGAAGGAAGGAAGGAAGGAAGGAAAAGAAAAGAAATTATTCGATCCACTTTTTCTGATTGTAGGTCACAAGACCCCCATTCCAGAACGAGTCTTGCCCAGTGCCCAAAAGGAAGGAATGCAGCAGAGAAGCCAAATAAAATCTAAACAGACAGGCTTTGCTGGGTTTCCCCACAGTCTATCAGCATTACATTATACACTTTTGGTCCAATCCTATTTCTACACAGCCAGCTATACTTTGAATTTAAACATAAAAATGGACTGTTCTCCTGTATTTTGGGTCTCCATGTCACTTAAAACTATGATCAAATGAATTCGTATTCTTCTCTCTTATTAATCTGTCTTATGTTAGTTGATTTTCAGCAAACATTCAAAGAACAAAGCAGAAATTTTCCCTTTGGTTCTACAGAAGTCTGCATGCAGAGAATATGTGGTACAAGGAGGTTACATTACACTAGGTACAAGGACTAGTTTATGGTCCTTGAAATGTTTCCTCTTCTTGAAGGGGGTGCATCATGGCATATACATCATCATAATGCAAAAAGTGTTGCACAGATATCAGCTGTCCTAGGACCAGAAAAGTGAGCTATTTTGTTCCTTCCTTAGGAAGCGATTGTTTCTCTTCATTTAATTAAAGGACAAGATGTTGTCACAATCACGTTGCCAATGAAACACTTCCCAGAGATGAATGATGTGAACTGTGGACCCAATTCTCACACCCCACAAAGAGCAAGAAACTTGCCTTTAATTGGGTAAAGAATGATGCCTTGGGTATCTGGTTTGGATATCTCTATTTGCCTATTAGATGATATTTTTGTTTTGTTGAATTTTAAAGACAAGCCTTCAGAAACTAGCTATTTGGTTCTTCATTGTCAATCATCTTAAAACAAAACTCTTGCCAACTGCAGGATGACAAGTGTTAATTCATAACTAGATAAAATTTTCCAGGCTTTTGCAGAAATGCCATCCATCATCTTTTAACCTTTTTAAATGAATGTGATCCCACTGATTTGGCAAAGCTGCTAAAATCAGTGTAACCAATTTGAAGCAAGAGAGATTAAATATCACCTATCTTATTCTCTCAAATTATGACATTTCAAGCTACCTGTGTCAGGTGAACAAGAAGCTGGTTTTTTTTCTAGAGGCCTTAGCATCTACCTCCCAGTTGTTCTGAGGTAACTTAGATTTGTTCAGCCCAAAGAGGCTGTTCTGCTTCCAAGTGCCTCCCTGAAAGCAAAATGCAAACCCTGCCAGTGCACAGGGAAGTCTTAGTGTTTAGACTCGATTGTGGCAAAGCTGCAAACTGGTCTCACAAATCCAAAAAATCTTTTGTCCAATGTTGTGAAATGTAGTTCAGAAAACTGCAGAGATCTCAGTACAGGATGCATTACCCCTGAGGTCCCAAAGGGGCAGTTTTTAGTACTACAGTCCCATCTGCAGCCACTGTTCCCAACCCTAAGGACATCTGCTGTGTCCAGGTGGTTGTGAGAGGCACGGGACAGCAGCACAAACTCTGCTTCCTGGCATGATGTCCAGCTCCTCACTCTTCCAACCTTCCCTAAGGGGAGTTCCCTCTTGGAGGCCTTTGGTATCCTTTCCTGTCAGCTGACTTCCATCTATGAGAGAGGCTGTAATTACACTGAACCTCAGAATGAAGGAGAGGTGAGATCCAATGCCCCTGACACCTCCCCAGACAGATGAGTGTACACAAGAGAGTTCTAGGGAAGGGTGGCCTTTGTGAAGCCACAAGAAGGTTTGTTATTCTTTCCCAAAGGCAGGATGACCGTGCTTACTTGCCCTGTATTTGCATAATAAAGAGAGGCCACCACAGGAATGGGTGGGCAATTTCCCTCCCTAGAAATCATGGGCCTCTTGCCAGCCACACTTAGTCTTTGGAGTTGACTTCTTTTAAACGACCTCTCTCTTCATCAAAAAAAAAAACATGCCAAGATATTCTCGGTTCATTGTTAATGATTTAAGTAGGCTCCGACATAAAGTAATCAAATTTATATACACCATGGCAGCTGGTCAGGGTGGAGTGTCCAGGATATCTAATAAGGTCTTATGTTTTACCACCACAATAAAGTATCATATTCACATTGTACTACATAAAACGTTCTCAAACCAAGACAACTGAAAAGTTACCTCCTTCCTCTGAACTCCTGCATAGCATTCTACTGTTGGAACCACTCACTGGATGCTTTACATTTATGGTTTTGTGTATATACACGCACACGTATTCTTCCTCACCTCATGTCAATTTTTGTACCAAGTCATAAGTGGCTTATGCATGGGCATCATTGTAGTTATTCTTTGACTCTCCCACAGTGACTGAGTAGAAATTCAGCAATGCTTTAATTGTTAGGTGAGGCAATTTCTTTTTCTTGTAACTTCTAAAATAAGGATATATCTTTTCTTAGCCTTGTAAGACCAAAAGGATCAGTAACATTTCACATCCAGAACACATGGCTACTGTAAAAGGAGCCACAGAGGCTAAGTCTGCCTTGGACTTGGAAAAGACAGCTGAATAATGACCAGGGCTAAGAAACTATTTAACATCCCACTTTCGATAGCAATGGTTTTACAAACCTCACAGTTGTTCTGAGGTAACTCAAATTTGTTCAGTCCAAAGAGGCCATTCTGCTTCCAAGAGCTTTACTGAAAGCAAAATGCAAGCTCTGCCAGCGCACAGGGAAGTCTTAGTGTTTAGACTCGATTGTGGCAAAGCTGCAAACTGGTCTCACAAATCCAAAAAATCTTTTGTCCAATGTTGTGAAATGTAGTTCAGAAAGCTGCAGAGACCTCAGTACAGGATGCATTACCCCTGAGTTCCCAAAGAAGCAGTTTTTAATACCATGGTCCCATCTGCAGCCACTGTTCCCAACCCTAAGGACATCTTACAAACAAGAAGATGCAGCATACAAACTTTAGCAAAAAAGTGCCCCAGTGAGAAATGGGAAGCAGGAATTAAGAGACCCAACAAAAGCACCGCTAGGTTATCCGTTTTTAGAAACACTAATCCCACTCTTAAAGTCAGATAAATCCTTGTGAACATTAAAATAAAACTCAGAGGTCTAATAATTCTAAGAAATTTGCTTTTTCAGGTTTCTATGTTTGATGACTATTTCAACTGATATTGGTACAAGTATGAAAAGGAATGATGTTGACACAATTTTAGAAACAGGAATATGAAAC